AGTGGTAAGAAAAAATAAAAGCAGATGAAGGCACATTCTTAATACAGTCATTTGTTGCACTAGGTGAGAAGCAGGAGCGATAGCGCTGTGCTGCAGCTCCTCTCACTGCGTTCATTCATTACGTCTCCAGCCTCCTCTGGAAATATTCCAAACAAGCCCCCGAGCCGCTGCCAAAGACCCGTCTTTTAATGCTGCTTTAGACGTGGAATGCGGTCGAGCGAACTCTCAGGGTTAAGAGGAGATGAACGGTCGTGTTTCTGCAGAGAAATCTGTGAACTAGTTGCCAAGTTGCTAACCATATGTCATGCATGCGAGGACGCAGGCCTGGGAACGAGGCTAGGCCTGGGGGTGGGGGGGTTGAGGTGCAGATGACTTTTTTAAGGGATGAGATTTGGGTGTGTTTGTTAGTTATGGCTCACTGGGAATCAGATCTGTGACCTGGATTTTGCAGATTTTCATTGCTGGTTCAGTGTTCCAGGCCAGATGGTATTTTTTATTAAAGAGGAACACACCTCGAAATGTTTATTCATATCGATAACACTCACCCACACACAATCTGTAGCTTCCTCTTTGTTCAATGCTGAGCTGTCTAAGAACGCACGTTTAGCCATTTCTGCTACTACAGTGTGACATTGTGATGGGGGGGGGGGGTTAAAGCAAATTTGATTTTCTAAGCCATCAGCAAATTTCCCCCTTTCCTTAACCCAACCACGAAGACATTTCAATCAAGATATAATTCACATATGTAGTGATAATAATAACATTAACACAATAACAACAAGAGTTAAAGGTAACCAATAGGAGGCGAAGTAAAACAAAAACATTCAGAGCTAGACTGAAAGGAAACTATACATTTTGTGAGAAACGCTGCAGAAAAAGCGAATCAGAATTCCTAGATACGGTTTAGAATAGTTTCCATTGCCACAAAACACCTCATCTCCTTCATTCACCACTGTGTCTCCTTCTCTTTTAGTACCCGGCCGCTCTGATGAACCTCGGCGCCATCCTCCACCTAAACGGCAAACTTCCTGAAGCAGAGGCCAACTACCTGCGTGCGCTCCAGCTCAAACCTGATGACATCATCACCCAGTCCAACCTGCGCAAGCTGTGGAACATCATGGACAGGCAGGGGCTGAGGACTAAGCTCGGGACGCAGAAGAGCGACCTATGAACTTGAGAGATCTGCTGCACTGTCTCCTAAATAATGAAGTATAGTGTCCTGCAGAGACTGAAGCAGGACGGGATGTAGAAAAGACCTGGAGCTTGGGAAGGACATGATTCATGGGATGTGACGTCTGTATGAAGCGTAGAGTTTTTTGGAATTCAAGGGGCAGGCTCTTCCTGACAACGTGTGTCGGTTCAAACTACTAAAACTAATGTCCTCTTTTGTACAAAATTTTATAATGTGATGCTTATTTGTCAAATTAAATAATGAACTCAAATGATTGCAAAGTCCAAAAAAGAAAAATACCTTGAGATCAAACATGAGCTGATTCTTCTTCTTCCACGATTATTAAAATCTTGGGTCTGTTTTCGAGCACTTAATTTGAGTGAGGATGTAGCAAAAGTATTTAAATCATCTCCACAGAGTGGGTTTTCAAGTTGTTGGCACTGACAGATGAATGACGATCATAAGCTGGTTCGTCTTAAAGGGGAACTCCTGTCACGCATCAAAGTCTGGTTATAGATTTTGGGGAAACCTGGTACCTAGAAAAAAAGTATAAAGTCTTTTGCGGCTTCAAACGGAGTTGAATGAAATCCTCAAGTGATCTGTGAAGACAACAAAACAAACCCAGACGTCTGTAGCGCGCTCTTTACCTTGCAGCTTAAGGCTATGTTAGCCATGAATATCCTACAGGGCTGTCTGGGTGCAATATGGGTAATGTAGGCACCAGGTATTGGGAGAAAAAAAAAGATTTGCTAAACTGTCAATTGTGAGACGGACAAGATCAAAGGAGTGAAATTTAAAATCGGTGGACGAAAGAATTTCAAAATAAAATCTCGGACTAATTTCTCTCAGGGTGGTCGAGCCTTGAACTTTTCCTCTTAATGCAGCGAATCGCTAACATTGAAATCGTGCCAGAGCTAAGACATCTTCAGGTACTGCCCTCTAATAACACTGCTCTATTGTACACACAGTCAAAGAACTCAGAGACGGTCACACTCGGTTGTCACTAAAGATGTTTTTGCACCAGGCGCATTTTAAAAGCTTCTGAGTGTAAAAATGAAAAGAAAAATTCCTCCATGGTGCCAAAGCTTGTACTGAGTCTTTTACGCCTCTCGTGCCAAGCAAAGAACTGTCGTCACTTACGTGTTGTTATGTGGAATGAAGATGTTTAATTTCCTGTGATTGAATTTAATTTATTAATATGTGTTATTTTATGTGTAAAAGCCCCAACACTGTGCTGTTTCTCCATCACATTAGAACATCCTCTCTCATTCCTCCTAGACAACATGACGTTAAAATGTTTTTATCATTAAATGTTTTTTTTCTCTCTGCTCAGGGACATCAGGTTGTGGTTCCTGTCACACAATGAGTTTGTGACACAGAGAGAGCCTCTTAAAATGATTTGATAAGTTTTTTGATGATCGTGAATATTTGGTTAAATTATAGAAAACCTGTAGCGAAATAATTTGCTGTGTTTTGTAAAGAACAATGAAACTTTTTCCATAATAAAAAACGTGATTTTTGCTCTCAGCGGGGTGATGTCATCCAAAGTTATTTCGAGACAAATGAAAATGTGTAAATTTGAATGAACACACACACACACACACACACACACACACACACACACACACACACACACAGCGCTCCACATGTTGATATCATCTGATCAAACATCACAGTTTCTAATAACTCTCCAGACTCGGAGCTGTAAATATTTAAGTCAAAATCAAATTTGACACTTATCGTGAACTCACTGCCCCAGTTTCAAACATTTCAAAGTAGAACTCAGCGTACATCTACTGAGACATATACTGATTGAAAGCTGTGTTTGTTATGCACAGAAAGCAGCAAAAACACTTTAAACACCATCTGCTCCACTCATCGCTGAATCTGTCCATCTCACCCTCAGGACCAATTAAATCATCTGAAATAGTTTACTGAGAGATGATGGCCTGGGTCTGGAAAACAGCTCAGTCTGAAATAAAAATACCAATATCAGAGCAATAAAAAAAATTCACATGCACATAATGTGCAATGAGCTAATATGTGTGAGAGTGCTGGAGTCATCTGGGAGGGAGGGATGCTAATGCGAACTCATCAAGGATGAAAGAAAAACGAGGACGGAGGGAGGGCAAGAAAAAATGAATGTGGTTTTTGCTCTTTTCACACCAGCAAAGACTAGAATTGCACCATTATGGTTTATATATATATACTTTTCTAGTTTTGATGACTTTACAGCACCTTTTGCCATTCAACCATTCACACAAATATTCATACAGTGCATATATGGGCAGCACTTTGGGTTCAGCATCTTGCCCAAGGACACTTTGGCATGTACCTGAGGAAGGCTGGGATTGAACCACCCACCTTCTGGTTGGAGGACGATCAATCCAACCCTCAGCCACCTCTCACAGTTCCTGCAGCCTTTACAAACCACTGGTATAATTTCAATTCTCTCTTTCTGTCACATAAATTCAGTTGAATAAAAAAAATACATGAACTGCAGTCGAGCAGAAGAATAAAGGTATGAAATGAAAATAGCTCACTTGTCTCTACCACTACAGGGTCTATATATATATACTGTATACACAGAAATTTGCAATCACAATGAATTAATGCAGATGAAGCACAACACGTGAAAATCATCTGTGTCAAAGTGAAGTGGAGCAAAGTGAGAGACGTTTTAGAAGAAATTGATATTGGCGTCCTCTTATATTTCACCATAGGAATTCATTACAGCAACATGCACATGTCTTGAATGAATGAAGTAATAATAATGTCGGTAAAGACACGAGTTTCTGAAAACATCCTGATGAGCTGCAGACTCACTCTGCAGGAGGCTTGTGCAGGAATATTGACAATAATCTGCCATTAGAGTGAAAAACCTCCTCACATAATGTGGACCAGCCTCAGCTGAAGAGTGCCAGGGGGTCAACGACCGTTCCTCATCTGTTACACGTGTCGACAGGGACCTCTGCTGGATTTCTACCTGAAGTGCAGCTCCATACATTTCTACAGGCTACACATAGCAAGTACTTCTAAGTATTGTATTTTACTCAAGTAGAAAAGTTAATGTGATACTTTTACTTGAGTATATTTTTGTCAAGTTATTTGTTCCTTTACGTTCTTCACCACTGATGAACATGAAGTAAAGAAACACACCATAGTGATGCCTTGATTGTAACAGAAATGTTGCTGATTGGGCTGTGGAGGAAGTTCAATGTCCTTGTACGTGTTGAAAGTGTGTCATTAAAGTTTGGAAACGTTATGTGCTGTAAACAGAAATCTTAAAACACACCGGGACTTTTCTAGTCTTGAGTGTAAAATGAGCTTTGTGCTTCAAAACACAGGACGAGCATGTGACACTGAGTCGTCTCTGAAAAACGTTCCACAGAAGATAGAAATAGTTTCGCTTTAATGCTGAAAAGTTTATTAGTTCAAACATGTGCAAATTACAGACACACATATAGCGTCACGCACTCTCTCTCACACACACACACACACACGGCTTAAGTGTTAAGACTGAAGACTTTCCTGCATTCACAATAAGGAAATGCTGTTGCTGTTCTCGTACTGTTTCAGTAAACGTACAATCTGTTTATTGTTCCAGCTGTTCAACAACTCACACAATCACACAGTGTTCTCAACAAATACACAGAGCAAAGCAACATTACATTGTGTGGTTATTTTTCTTTAGAGTACTATACATGTGCTGGCTATGATATCTTTTTTGAATACATTTACACTGGGTGCAAAGATTTCCTGCTCGTCCCTCAAAGAAAGATGATGATGCCACACAACGCTATGCGAAAACGGATCTTGGGAACTTGTCTTTTTTTTTTTACCAAATTCAATCGTCACTGGCACTTGTTGTTGAGAGTAGAGGACAACGAGTGTGCATGACATCACAACTTTATGTCATTGTGACACAATTAAAAAAACCTTTCATGGAAAGGGGGGAAAGTGCACTGATGCATGGGTAAAAAAAGAAATCAGAGGTAGAAGTGTTTTTATGAATAAAAACAAAATAAAAATATATCCATGTGTGCGTAATACTCTGTACTAGCGACACACAGATGTTGACGTCACTGAATGACACACAACAATGTTACATGAGTGAGCAGGAACGTGTTGTGGGTTTTGGTTTGGTCATTTGGAATCATGTCTACATGAATAAGCTCATATGTGGCACTGTGGATGGAATGACAGGGCTGTAGCCGGCGACAGGACGTCACCTCTAACCATCAGGCTGCCACTCTTACTTTAAACAACAGATATTGCACAAGCGGAGCACAGATTCTGCGTTTTATAAAAAAAAAACAAAAAAAAAACAATCGCCATAAACACTGACCTTAAATTAGTATTTCATCCTTTTTTATGTCACAGAAACATTCTAACCACTAGTTCCATCATAACTTAGACTGTACAGTATACAAACTGTACACAAAGTCTTTACTGTCTCTGCAGTTTCCCCCGAAGGCACTTTAATAGATGACTCATGCTCCAGTCAGGCACTGGATCCGACTGGAAGAAAAAGCAAACGTCCTTTAAACTGCTTCTTTTTCCGCTTCATCCCGTCATCCGACTCTGTGTCGTAAATATTTTGATGATTTGAGATCCAGCCCCAAAATAAAAAGTACATGTGTTCTTGTTCGGCGTCAGTAGAACTCAATCAGATACTCTGGGTAAATCTGATTGCTGTCGAAAATGACATAAATCTTTGGGTTGGCCATGTCGTCCACGCAGCTGTCGAAAAAGTTGGTGAAGCTGGCGTCCTTGGAGGGCGGCCTGCAGTACATGGGATGGCCGACCGTGTATTCTCCGACGAGCACTCTGGCCAGGAACATGGTCTTGTAGGGCGGCTCACTCGCAAATATCGGTGGGGCGAGTCCGTGCCTCTGCAGGATGTTGTTGTGCTTCCCCGTAGTGTGACAGAACTTACTGGAGTATTTGGCATCCCGTGCAAAATAGCTCCCTGGAGGAGAGCCGAGTGAGGAAAATGTTAGATTCTGACCCAAAAAATGAGTGTGTTAAATTATTTCAATGATGCTACATCACACCAGAGTATTTACCTTTGCCGTAGACGTCGCCGTGGCTTCCTGTCAGCCGCCAGTCAAAGTTAAACGTACATATCGCTTGTATGTTGCTGTGTCCGGTGCCGTGAAACAGCATTCGCTCCTCGATATCCAGCGTACGCTTGACTTTTCGCAACTGTGTTTTCTTCCTTCGGGGGGGGGGAAACAAAGTATTGACAACACAGCACAGAGCACTGGTCATCACTTTGTCACAAATGAGTGTAATTTAAAGCCACACGGGGCAAGAGGGACGTGTGTGATTGACTTCCACGAACAAAGACTTACTGATGTCTCAGATGTTGCAGCAAAATGAATTCTGATGAATGTTTCTGAAAAGGAAAGAATGCCCTGGCATGGGTTTAGGTGCATGTGGTGAGACATTTAGACCCTCACTGACGAGAATATGAAAGATTGAACCTGCCTGTAACAGAAACCCCTCACTGTCAGAGGATCTAAGTTTTAACTGGGAAAACTACAGCAGGGAAACGGTCAGAACTTCCACGGCATCCCCATGAGCTGAACACTTACAAGGACACTGCACAGCGGCAATGCAAGGAAAGCTGCTGGACCTGCCAGCGTCCCAGGACATGTGCAGCGGATGATGTGCCAACCAACTAGCAGATTTTCAGACATACGATGAAGAAACTTGAATCGTGTCCGTGGAGCAGCTGAGAATGTCATATATCATTGTGAAAAAGGTTTATGGACCCAAAACAGATTGTTCTCTTTCAGTCCATCAAAGCTTAACACTCTGGACACTGTGGGGTACGCTCACAACAATACGACCATTGTGTACCTGCAGAAGAACTCCCACAGGTCCAGGTTCTGAATCCTCTGGATGGATTTGATTGGATGGTCCATTGTCCTTTCGTACAACCTGGCGACTTCTTTGAACTCATATGTGTCTCTGCCGAGCTGGATCAGCTGTGGACACACAATCAAGTGTGTAACAGTCAAAGCTTGGCTGGAAATTTAAAATCAGTAAACAACTGCAGAGTAGGACATATTTTTCTAAATATCCACGTTGTTTTGTATGCTACTGTATATTAAATACAGAAATACTCAGTTTGTGTAAAAGCTACAAACCCATCACCAACAATGTTTGTGAATCAAACAAATAATGTTTGAATTACTTCACTCACCTGATAGGGCTCATCTGTATTTATTCTCTCCCAGTGACAGGGGACGGGCAAAGCAAGATTATCACATATAAACCTGAGAGAAGAAGTGACAGAGGGATTGTTACAACAAAACAGGGCTGGGTGTATTTGTGTTATGTTATTTATTCAGTGTCATATAAGAAAAATCAATTCTGTGAAGTGTGTTTTTGGTGGAGACATCTTTGCTTTTTAGAGACTTAAACTGAGGGTCAGCAGCAGGGAAGCTCCCTGTGGAGCTCGTAGGAATTTGGGGTCAGATTTTAAGGATTTCTGAGGTTGGCAGATGTTTGAACCCTGACCTTTCATGTCAAGCATGCCAACCTCATCCTGCTCCCTACAAACGTCTCTCTCTTTCATGGAGGATGAAGACAAAACGTTTAAACTTTAACCACCAAATCTTACCTGAAGCCAGTTGCAGAGTGGAGGGAGCGTTTGATTGGCCGCTGCTTCCCTGTTGTCACATTGATCTGTCGCATCACTGGTGAGGAATTTAATTACAATTAGCGACAGAAACTCATATAATAATAATATTCATTCTTCAACAGGATGAACTCAAACACAACTTATCTTTATATCTATCTTTTTACCTACGTTAAGATGCATATTGTCCGTCTGATTAAAGTGGCTCTAGATTTACTTTTGACTGTGCAGTGTCAGGCAAAGAAGTTGGTCTGTCATCACCACACCTGAAAAGTCCAGTCTGTAGGTGTACTTGGCCGTGTAGAATTCCATCACACCGCGTTGGTTTCTGCTGTAGCACTGCTCAATCTGAGCACTGGTCACAGAGCACGCTGCACTGGGGTCAATCTGATAGGAAAAGGGAGGAACACAGATTATTATATGATTATTTAATTGATTACGTAGTGAATGGACAAAATAAATGAATGCATGAGAGGCAAAAATTCCGATTATTCATTATTCAGTTATCCAAGCCAATAAATTGCATTTCTTCCTAATTTCAAAATCAATCCATATGATTATGTGCAATTAATGTAAATTATTATTATTTGGGTACTAGTCTTACATTTAGGTCATGAAAAAATGATTATTTTTGGCCAAGTGTCAATAAAATATTCCAAAAATCTGTGGATATTGATAGATAAATTATTGTGTTACGGCTGCTTGTCAAGGGCACTGCACATAGAGCAAAGAACAAGAGACTAAATGTAAAGGTAGGAACATGACTCTAATAAAGAAATATGAATATAACACTATCACAGTTATTGCATGAGTAATCACAGAGTTTGGTGTGGACAAAAACTAAAAGGGCAAATTGAGAACATATTGCACTGACGACATTGTTGTGTTCTTTCTTGTTTTCACGTGTAATCTTGCTCTATGTGTCCTAGAATTGTCCTCCTGTCCCGTGAGGTACCTCGAACATGTGCCACACTCCACACTCCGCCAGGTAGAACCAGCACCAGTTGGGCTCCGAGGTGTCCATCTCCTCCATCTCGGCGGACTCCTCCTCTGACGCCCTGATGGCTAACATGGCTACATCTGAAACAACAGGAGGACAGAACAAACTCTTTAGTCTGAACGTGCAGCCGAAGTTTGAGCAGGTGTGAGGACCGGGGACAGGTGGGGGAGGGAGGGAGAGGGGGTGATTTTATTCGTCGCACACACCTAATGTCAGGGTGAAGTTTTTAAGCCATGGCCGTGAGGACATTTCACCCAGTAAACAAAACCAGGGAACTGATCACATCCAGCTAGCTTATCATTAGCGGCAGCCGCAGCCAGACTCTCCCCGGCTCCACAGGTGTCTTACCGGGGTCCCGCCGGCCTCCTGCTGGGTCCCTGTCCTTATCGGGGGGTGAAGCCTTCAGGCATTTTCTAACAAAGCACCAGAGAAGCCACAGACTCGGGAGGAGAGAGGATGACTGACGCTGCCTGACATTTTCACTTCCTATCCGTTGTTTACTTTTACTTCCTGCTTCGTCACGCAGTAACGTCAATGCGTCAATGTGACGTTACTGCGTGATGAGGACCGTGTGTGTGTGTGTGTGTGTGTGTGTGTGTGTGTGTGTGAGTGTGTGTGTGTGTGTGAGTGTGTGAGTGTGTGTGTGTGTGTGTGTGTGTGTGTGGACACTCCCTCTTTACAAATCTTTTCTTTTCTTTTTTCAAAGTTCCCTCAGTCAAAGAACTTGATTGAGAAAGCACGCTGCAGGCTGCAAGGGTGAGTCCTTCTAATCTTTGTTTCAGAGGCTAGACATGTTTGTGTGAATGTCTTTCAATTTATGAGCAGTGGATTACATGTTGCAGTTTGGTTGGTTCTGTCACAGCCTCTTTCTTCTGGAGCTGATTCAACCAGACTCCATGTAGTGTGAACTGCTGTGACAATTATAAGCACCATCATAAACGCTTTTGTTCTATATCTGCAAAAGTGCACGAGTATAAGAGAGCTGCATAGAGCATGGGAGACCTGGCTTGCAAATCACTCCAGTGTTTATTATGTGTCCATGCAACAGAGTGAGAGACCATGACCGAGGAAAAAGCCAGAGGACCGAGTGCTGCAACAGTGGGGCCAGATGAGGGAGCGCGTGAAGAGGGGGCTCAGCCGAGGGGGAAGTGGGCCGACAACAAGGAATTCCTACTCTCCACGACTGGGGGAATCATTGGCTTTGGGAACTTGTGGCTATTTCCTTATTTGTGTTTCAGGCACGGAGGAGGTGAGAGTCGGCTTTGCATATATAACATGCAATTTGACAACAATAATTATCGCAATATAGTTTTCATCAATAGCAACATAACATAAGTTCACTGTATATATATGGAAGTAATGCTCATGCAATGTGTTCAGTGAGGAGGTACAACACATAACTCACATTACTTAGATGGTTATGTTTTCACTTCTGTCCGCTTGATTGTTGATTTGTTTGATTGTGATACAGGATTACGCAAAAACTACAACACTAATTTCAATGAAATGTAGTGGAGGGGTGGGGCGTTTCCCAAGGAAGGACCCTTGATATAGTTAACAATATCAACTGCTATGAAATGTTTTATCTTGCCATAATTTGACAGAAGACACCAAAAGTCTTAAATCAAGTCACTCAAAACCACAACTAGAACTCTCAGTAGAGCACATATCTCCCTCAAGGCCCAACATTCCCCTTAAATTCAGTTAAGCTGCACCATATTGTACACATGCATAGATATCCGTCCCCTAAACATGCCTGAGTTTAGTTTTTTTTTCTTATCAAGATCCATGAATGAATCCCATTCTCAATGATTCTCAGTGAAAATGACCAAAAAAATTCTCGATCTTTCCCGGATTCACCCAAAATTTAATGATTTTCTTTTTTGTTTCATCTCCTTTCTGTCCAGAATCTGTTCAGAGGTTTTTGCGCAATCCTGCAAACTAACTAACAAACAAATAGACAAACAGGATATTGCAAATAATATAATATGACTGTAACTCCATTCAATGCGGATGTATCTGATATTCCAACCATTCCCTACTCTTCTATAACATGGACAGGAATTGCTACATAATGTGTGATTATTGAATGCCGGTGTTTGTGGAACCTCCTCCTCACACCACTTCGGTCTGAGACTTCTTCATCTTTTGTCTCCTTCCAGTTGTTTTTCTCATCCCATACTTTGTGCTCTTCCTCTTCTTCGGCGCCCCTCTCCTCTTCCTGGAGATTGCGTTGGGCCAGTACACCAGCGAGGGTGCAGTCACTGCCTGGAGGAAGATATGTCCCATGTTCGAGGGTAAAAACAAGGCTTCGACGCATTTTTGGAGAATTACACAATTAGTCTATTGATAGAACAGGAAATGGATGTTTTTCATTGTTTGCATAATTGGTTTCGAAGCTGTTTGCAGCCTCGCACGCTCTCAAATCATGTAAATAACAAGAGATTACTTCTTACTTTCCACCAACAATATAGAGGTAACAGTTGTATAAGCATTTTAACCTTGTTGAGCTGTTTTCTGAGGAAAGTGTAGAAGCCTGTCTTTGAGTTTCTTCAGTGGTCTGGTTTTACTACCTCTGCAGGAGTTCAGCAGCGCTCCACTCTCAACAATAGCTGACTTGTACATCCTCCGTCAAGCTTGTGACCCCATTTATCTACTGGACATTTCAAACAGGCTGAGTTGTGTAGGGCAGAGGATTCACTAATAGTAAGTGTAAGGGGACATTTCATTGATTGTGCACACTTTTGGTTTATTGTTCACACTAAACCCAAGTGAACCGGAGAACACATGTATGCACCAGTGTTGGAGAGCTGGGATCCAAACCAGCCCTGCGGAGCTGTGAGTGTTGCATTACACGGCAGAAGATGGCCGCCACAGAGGCTTTCACTAACTGCTTGAAAACCCATTGTGTACTGCAGGAGTGGGGATGGCGTCCCAAGTGGCCACGTTTTATCTGAGCACCTTCTTCATCATCATTTTGGCCTGGAATATCTTCTACATGATTAACTCCTTCAAAAGCCCCCTGCCCTGGTCTACTTGTGACAACTGGTGGAACACTGGTAGGACGCCATCAACAACACATGCTGGCTTTTTATGCACATCTGTATTTGATCAGCAGCATGGAATTCAACACACATACACACTAAAGCTCCCTTTGTTGCAGACCTCGGAGGAAATGCACAATAAAACCTCCAACATATTTTAGTGTTTTGTCATACGCACCATTCGCCTGCCTGTGATCTCTCTCTCTCTCTCTCCTCTGCCATTGTAGAGTTATGTCATAGTCGAGTCAACATGTTGGACAACTCCCACCTGTTTTCCTCCAACACCAACTGGTCGTTCCTAAACAACATCACCTTGCCTGAAGACTTTGAGTCCGTCCAGTACTTGTAAGTTGCATCTTAACCATTGAGCTGTTTGTGGCCCAGTCTTTTTAGTTCAGTACATGTCCCATCCACTCACATGGAGGAGGGAACCTATACTGCCACCAGCCACCAGAGGCAATATGTCACATCATCTATCTTTATATGTACGGTCGGAAAAATAAATAAATAAATATATATATTTAAATAATGATGAAAATCACATCTCATTAGACATCGTTGATTGCATTTCTGTGTGATATTGTTTAGAAAGACTGCAATGTAGAAGAACCTGAATAGTGTTTAGCCTTTCAGAAAGTACTGTTATTATTACTGTGATTTCAACTCACTTGACATAACTGTGTGTAATGTTTTACTTTTCCAGCAATGTAACGGACCTGTCACAGCCGGACAGTTCATCAGAAGAGGAGTTCTGGAGGTGAGAGAGACGCCGGTGACTTTACTTCTTCTAACATGAGAACACAACAGTAAAATCTCCCCCTTTAGTGAGCTTCTCTTTAGGCCAAACATTCTTCAGCTATTAGCTCCTCATGGTTCTCTGATACTGAGAGGCCATTTTTACTCCTGGGCTGCTGAGTGGGTGTGATGTAAATGATTGAGCCACCCAAACACAGCAGGGAAAACAAAGCAGTTTAAATGCTCTAAATGTAAATACAACACAACTTTGGCTGCTCTCAGATGGTTGAATTCTCCTGAAAATTGTCATTTACTGTAACTTAGCCCTCTCGTAAAACATCTGCAAAATGCGGTGTACTTGCACACGCGTGGATCAAGACAACGAAATCCTGCTGCATTCTTCACATGTGAAAGACTGGGAAATGTCAAAACTCAATTTTTTTGCACCATAGTTCGCTCCCCCTCATCTTTAGACATTTCAAAACACATCTGCTTCTCTCCACATGTTAATCTTGTGATTTAGCGTGAGAACAGATACTGTGAATCAATCCTGACATACTATTGCTCCACATGACAAGAATAATGTGTGCTCTTCTCCTTGCAGCCTTTTTCAATATAAATTGAAACCATCCAAGACAAACGATTAGAGCGATTATAACATCTTTGTGTGTTGTGTATTCATTTGTTTCCGGTGTCATCGACAGGCATCGTTTGTTAAGAGTGTCTGACAAGCTCTTGGGTGAAGTGCACTGGGACCTGGCTCTCTGTCTCCTGCTGGCCTGGGTCATGTGTTACTTCTGTGTATGGAAGGGAATCAAATCCATTGGAAAGGTGAGTAGCTTTTTAACATACAGGATGTGAAGGATCATGGGAAGGAATAACACTTGGAGAGCAAGTGAAAGTAGAACATGTAATATATATAATAATAATTTAAAAATTCACATGAACGCCCCTCAATTCACAAAGTTCCCAATTCGCTGCTATAGCTTTTAATGTGAACTTGCCAAATGTTACACTTCTGTCATTTCCAAACTGCATCTCTCATGAGTGACCAACACCAGAATTTTGAGCCAAACCAGACGTTACTATGAGTTAATTTAGAATTATTTCTTCACACCTGATCCTTTTTCTCTGCTTTGTTATTGCAAATACTGGAAGAGGCTGTTTTGGTGTTGTTTAAATCCATTAAAAACATAAAAATGACTCATTTTATTTACAGCGTCAAATTTGTTTCCACACTTTGACATTCTGAACACACCAAAGTCCGAACTTCACAACTCAGGAAATGGGACTTTGTGAGGAGCACCTGAATGCACAGTTATACCATGCTGGCCAGTACATAATAAATTGCAGGGGGATTCTGCTTGAAAGAAGAGGCATGGATGAATTGGGGTCCTGAGAACACCCCTCTGGCTGTTGTATAGTGGTACAGTCCAATCAGCCTCATCTACATAGGGTGATGTGACTCCACAGGCAGGCCTTTTGCCAGGTTGCCAGGAAGATGTCGGACACTGACAGGAAAGTTGCTGATCTATTGCTTTGAACAAGCCACTGAACTTGATTCACTTGTGTGCACTCAAAAAGGAGAAATAAAGTGGTTCTTAAAGTGAAATTGCTGCGTGTGTTGTATTTGAAGGAACTGAAAACAACTCACCATTTGAAAACGCTGATTGATGCTGCGTTGGCAGTTGCATAGACCTCATGTTAGCTGCCGGTAGCTCTTTTTGTTTTTGGATTGGTATAGATTTACTGAAGGGGACTTGATCAGTGATCATTTATTTTCACTGTATTGTTTATCTATTTCTTGTTTAAATACAGTATATATAAAACAAATCTACTTCATAAGATGTAGAATCGTCATCTGGTTTTGATTCTAAAATGTTATAGCATCTTTCACTTGTTTTGTTTGTTTTGGTATATTTACTGCTATTCAGGATTTATTTTTGATTTCATTTAAAAATCAAGTGAGTTAAACCCAGTTTACACAATGTGCCGACACTAAATTGCACATGGACAAAGTTAGCGACCAGCTAACTAGTGTAGTAGAGTGTGGGCAGCAAAAGAGACAGATATCTAGTCAGGATTGAGAGGGTGGAGACCAAAACCTGAGCAAAAAGTGTGAAACCTGAATGCTAAATTTGGTGTGACTAGTAAAGCTTTACAAAGTAACATGCACTGTCAATGCATATGAAACCAACAACCTGTGTTATTGTGTGTTTTATAGGTGGTCTACTTCACAGCTACCTTCCCCTACCTGCTGCTGCTCATCCTCTTCTTCCGTGGAGTGACGCTCCCAGGAGCCCAGCAGGGCCTGTACTACTACCTCTACCCAAATTTCAGCAGGCTCGCTGACTCAAGTGTAAGATTACTTTTTAAAATTCAGCACGTGGCTCTAAAATAAAGTGTTGGCTGTGTCATTGCCTCTCATGAGCACTGTCCTCACAACCAACCAGAACATGGTCTCTCGGCTCACTGCTCATCTCTCGGGGACTTAACAATAAAAGCAAACTGAGGCCCTCTCTCAGTGAGACATAAACACCATCACTCAGGGTGGGACAAAATACCCTTATAGCAATTTACGATTATCTATATTCAGGCGCCAAATACCGATATTTAGTTCTATAGTTTGGACTTTTGCCAGTTTATGGTTATTTTGAGGACATTAACATGTTAGTGTTTGTTACGACTAAAGAGACACTAAAATGAGTCAGCATAACGAGATTGAAGCTGAAACTGAAGTTGGTAATTTACCATTGCTGCAAATGTTTGAACCTTTTTTACATAAAAGCACACATGGCATTACATTCTTTAAAAAGAACAGGGTGGATTCTAGACTAGTTGGAATGCTGCTTGCAACAACAGCTTAAGAAGGGGGGAGGGTCTTTCTCCCACAAAATGGATCGTCAAAGCCATCCGCAGCCCCCCCCCCATCCTGCCTGCTTCTCTCTGCCTCTTTTTCTCACAACACAACTGTCAGCTTCTGGGGTGAAACACTATCATCAGAGGGTTAACCCTGCAGAATTTTGTCTTTGGGTGGCAGGCGGGGGGTCATTTCCTCTTCCCACGCAGCCACGTTTGCGTACATGCACACACATGTTTATAGAAGGATTCCTGTAGGAAGTGTGTGCATGAAATAAATGAGATTATTTCTCAAAGAATATTTTTACTGTTGCAGTTTCTTTCCCAGACACTTTATTGGATTCCTTTTTATTTTGAATGCAATTGCGGTCAGAAGACGAGCTGTGGCTGCGCTTATCAGGCGATCCAGAAAAACAGCTTTTCATAAAACTCTGAACTATCGTGAGAATCTTATTCTGTAACCTTGGAAGCAAGCAAAGGGAACAACTCATTATTGTTGAATGTTGAAAGCAGGTGAAAGGAGTTATATGTCAGAGAGAAGAGTTGCACAATGTGAGATGGTCTTAAAAAGCAGATCTGTTTCTAATAGCATGCTCGAGTTTAGTGTGCAGGCATCTGTTTTTCTCTTGAGCTGCAGAGGAAATCATAATGGAGCTCTGGCCTACATCTGTGGTCTGTGTCATGTGTGAATGTGTCGGCTGTTGTCCATGTGTGAATATGCAGAGCAGCCAACCAAGACTTCGAAATAAACCGCATGCTCCTAAGGGCGCAACAGTTTCCTCTTTGTCCAGTGTCAGAAGGGAAGGTCCTTCACCTCAGACTGAGGCGTCCATCCCTGACCCGAGGCTGGGACTGACTCAGACCCGTTGCAGGGGGAGCTGTGTGTTGTGTAGTGGGAAGTGTACCGTCTCATATGGCAGGAAAGACTCTCAGCACTGTGGTGCCCCTAATGTTATCCAGATGCTGTCAGGACGAGGGCCTGAAGACAGACAGTCGTGTAAACAATGCAGCTACACCCACAGACTTGAATGTAAAAATATAAATGTGATGCACATACATACTGTAGTTGTTAACACTGAGTTCTGTTTAATTGTGATGAGTTGTATTTTCTGTTGGATGTTCTCTCTCTTATCTCTACAATTTCCTTAAAAAAATGTTTATGCCTCAGCTAACAGTCAGTGGCAAGAGCCATTATGTCGTCGGATTGTCTGTCTGTCATGAACACAATATCTCAAGGTCACCTTGAGGGAATTTCTGCAAATTTGGTTTGAACATCCACTTGGAGATGAACTGATTAGAGCATATAAAGAGTTGTCATGTGTGACAGTGTGATTCGAATCTCATGGCTTCTCCAGGCATGGGAGGATGCAGGAATGTGTGTGATGTACTCCTGCGCCACGTGTCACGGGGTGCTGACCACTCTGGGAAGCTACAACAAATACAACCGCAACTGCTACAGGTTGGGGATGCTTATTCATGCACGTCATCACATTCGCCATCTTGCATCAGTGCTGCTTTCTGAAAACTCAGACTTGTCTTTTCTGTTGCAGGGATTGCATGGTGCTGTGCTGTGTGACCTGTGCGACTAGCATCTTTGCAGGTTTCATTGTGTTCTCAGTGTTGGGATTCATATCTCATACGCAGAATGTTCCGCTAGACGAGATTGTCAATGCAGGTGAGTTAACGCTGCAATCCTAAAACAGTTGCTGTGTTTATCACCATGCATTGGAAAGCTGGCAGTGGTGCCAACTACCTCCACTGTCCACAAGATGGCATCTTGTATTTAGAAACAGCTAAAAAGGTGTTTCACTTCAGTCGCTGTGCCAAAGGATTTTCACAGGCATTGAAAATGATGTCGACTTTCTATGACGTTTTCTTTTATATATATATATATATATATWTTTTTTTTTTTTCTATACATTCATCAACTATAAGCTGTACAATTTAGGATCAAGGATATCTTTAGTCCAGAAACGATCCACACAAACTTCAGCTGAAAGAGAGATGGAGACAATAAGTACAATATAGAAAAACATTAAATCAGTTAAAATCATGAGTAATATGGCCAATAGCAGCTGAGACAAATTATTACCTGCATCTTTTTCTACATGTAGACAAACTGTATTTACGGCAGGACAGAGAGAGATGGGTTGGGTCAAGTTTGAATTCACCAGAATGTTTCAGATGTTTTCCTGTTGTGAACAGGTCTGACTCGGAGAATCTCCTGATGTCTTCCTCATACGTGAGAGGGAGAATGTCGGGACCCAATTGTCTTGACATTTTCCAGAGCTCATTTTTCACAGCTCATTCTAAAGAATTGGACATTATTTAATTTTTGCTTTCACAGGTCCCACCTTGATCTTCATATCCTTTCCGTTGGCTCTGTCGATGCTGCCCGGCTCAACTTTCTGGACTGTGCTCTTCTTCCTCACGGTCCTCCTCCTGGGTGTCGACACTCATGTCTGTAATGCGTCATACAAAATACAGCATCTCTGTATCATAGTTACAAAAATCTAATCATGAGGGTCTGTGCTCACAGTTTATGTTGGTGGAGAGTCTGGCCACATCCATCACAGACATGTTCCCACGTCACCTGAGGAGGCCTGGAGCGAGGGAGATCCTGGTCCTGGTCATTGCTGTGGTTTGCTTCCTACTGGGGCTGACGTTCATCACTGAGGTAGGAAACAGGAGCATTTAAAGGGACTTTCAGGGGCCCCAGCTAAAAGGGACCTGGGGAGCCCAAACCCGACCTCGAAGAAACACATGATACAGGATCGACATTGTAGCCTTAAACCAAACCGCAGATCTGGCAACCCTGCTGGAAACTGCAGGAGACGAACAGTTATTGTTCGGACGGTGATGCCGTGATGCACCTGCTATGACGTTTTGAGTTTTTAACATATTTTTCTTTCCTGCTCGTGCTTCAGGGAGGGATAATCGCCTTTCATTTGGTTGACCAGTATGGAACCAGTGAGATCATTTTCCTTTTCATTTCCTGTTTGGAGACCATCATCATCGGCTGGGTGTACGGTAAGTCATATCATCGGCTAAAAAAAGGTTATTTCAAAAAAAGAAATAACTTCTATCTGAAATCGAATTTTTTCTTTTAGTCTCCATAGGCACGGTAAACTGAAAATGTAAAATGCTTAATTGAAATTAATTGTTGAATTTTCAATTAATATTCCTGGCGGTGGGAATGGTAAAACACAATCCTGTGTATACATGGTACATGGGAATAATAGGAAACATTTCAATGTAAAATATGCCACTGTCCATCTTCATTCAGGGCTGTGACGAGTGCTCTACCTGCTGGTCTAAGCCTGCATCAGCACTTTCTCTGCATGTGGATCTTTGCTTTTTTTTTTTTCTTTTATCATTATTTCCTTTTCACAATATTTAATGAATATGTTTGTGCTCTCTATAAATGTGTCTGGATTTGTTTTTTTAATTAATTACTGATCTACTAAACATATGTAAACAGGTTGGCAGTAGTTTGAGGTTGTTAGGAAAACCTGCTTCCCCTTCTCATTGAATTATATTCCCTGTGAAAACAACAATTTTGTTCCCTTTTTATTGACGAACACCTCCCATCCATTGCTGAGATGCAGGAGCGGACCGTTTCTACGACAACATTGAGGACATGATCGGGTATCCACCAAACCCCGTGATCAAGTACTGCTGGATGTTCATCACGCCGCTCCTCTCTGTGGTGAGTGGACACGGCCCACATAGGTGAAAAAAACAGGACGCACATGTCATACAAAAGTCTGCTCCTTGAATTACAATGTGAAACCAAATGTAAACAATGTAATAAAGACATGAACCTTGGTTCTGGAGTTTCACGTGTAAAAAAAAAAAAAACCCAAGTCAGTTAAACTTCTGTTTTTTTACGTCAAACCACAGAAACAATATATATTGTGACGATAAACATCATATCCACGTGTGTCACTGGAAAAGTTATACCTGCGAATCTGCATCTGACTGTTGCAAGTTGCAGGACCAATGTTTGTCTCACTCTACAAAGCAGACCACACTTGTTTCTTTAAAGCTAAACCTTCTAACAGGACTATTTTCTGTCCACCAGATCTTGCTGCTGTGTAGACTGGCAAATAGATACTCTTTGTCTGTGTATGGTTACAATCTCGAACCTATGGGCGCCACCATCGGCGCTATAATTCTGGTCATTCCGCTGATGTGCATCCCACTGTTCATTTTGGTGGCACTGTGGAGGGTAAGTGAATTATAAGCTCGTACTGTTATTGTGTGATCTGTGTGTTTTTGATGAGGTTATTAAAATTGAGTTTTCCTCCATTTTTTTTTTTTTTTTTAACCAGAACCCCCAAAACATGATCTCTTCATCCAGCGACCTGCGTCAGCTGCGGCCTCACAAGCCTTTGCTCACGCTGTGTAAATGTGTCATCCTCAAGGCACAGGGGCAGTCCTTCAGGACCGCGGCCGAAAGACACGAGAAGATAATGATGGAGGAGCCCAGCGGGGTTTGATGGTTGTTGATGGCGCTAGTAGACCTTGCAGGAAGCGATTGTGCATAGCTGGTATTGATGACTTTTACCAATATGTGACAGGATAATGATGAGTATTGATTTGTAAAAGACCAAAAACATACATTTTAGACAGGTACATAAAAGTGTAAAAAAAAAAAAACCTAATTACTCCACTTATAATCCTATACGCTCTATTCATACTAAACCTCCTATTAACTGTAGAAATCATTGTTTCTGACAATCATTGTTTATGACAATACTTGTTTCGGAGACTTGACGCCACCATGTCTGAATGTTTCACACATGAACAACGCTGCAGGAGATTCTCCCCTCAGAAGCGTGAGGGGTGGAGCAACAGGACGTGACATAAATTCTCCACTCATTCACTAACCCCTCCTCCTCATATAGGAGCTTATTTGTAGAGGAAAATATCATGAGCTCATCGATACAAGAAAAAAACCCAAGACTCTTTCAAACACCAAATTTTCTCTGCACATCATTGTTGCAGGACCACTCCACTGTGTAGGCTATTAAAAATGTCACTAAACATTTGGACAGCACCACAATATAGTGAACTCACTATAGAGTGGACTTTGTGTTGATTTTCTTTAACTCCACCCTCCCTGATTTCTTAACCACTGATAACCTCATGCATCACATTAGTGAGTACGTTTAACTTTTTAAAAAAATCAAATCAAAGCAGATAAAACAACTCTTCTCTCTGTGAATCTGCAGGTTTGTGGTGCTGGTGTCTGATTTGAAGTATTGTGAGTGATGATGTGAACAAAGCTGTTCACAAACTTTTGCATCTCTTTTGTACGCGACCATGATATTTTGATAATGAGCGTAAAATCTTCACTTCCTTGTCTGTGTGCAGATGGTGATGAACTCATTAAATATCAGTTTGTTAAATATCCTGGTGCAGTGTGACTCTGTCATATTGATTTCTGAACACTGAGGATCAACGATCAATAATGGTCCAGTTCAGTGACTGGATCTCGTGTTTCCTGTCTTCTGGCTGTAAAACCACAAAATATCCAGAGGGCTCCCTATTTTCTTTTTGGCAAAAAGATATAATATTGATATAAATCATGCATGAATGTGAAGAGATAAATGAGCTGTAAATGTGATGTTGTGGAATATGTGTGGTTGGCAAACATGACGTTGCTCCATCATATTGCCAAGCTCAGTCATGTGTGTGTGATCCAACCCGGCATTCAATTACCAGCCAGTTCCGCCTGGTAGCCTCCCGCCCCTCCACACCCCCAACTCACCCTCACTGACCCCTTTGCTTGAGAAACGTCTGACTTTAAAAATAGAAGAAAATAAAAACACCATAAAGGGTCAAGTGGGTGATAAATTGATATTTTATCTTAAAGAGGAAAAACTGAATCGGCACACATAAAATGTTGCAGCCACTGGAAACTTCATTTCCTTCAATTGGTGCAGAAATGGCGGCAGGAATCTGTAAAGTCAACCCCCCCCACCCCGCCCCCGTTTTCTACATTGATGGCTCTGTGCTTATATTAGCAGCTGCCTCCGGGTGGATGTAGAACTACAGGTTTACAAGTGGTCCAACACTTCCACTGTTTATAATTAGAGCATGTATCCGTCAGCCTTTACATAAGCAGCCACAGTCGGGAGATACGATAATGGAAAATCCAAACCACTGACATGCAACTCGACAGCTCAACATGCTGAATGAAACGAGGACGAAATAGGGCCAGTGGGATGTTGATAGTCGTTATGGAAACGGTTATTAATGTAGATGAGGTACTTCTTTGTGAATGGTGATGTTCCTCTTCATATAAACATGCACTGAAACTGCCTTTGTCCCGCTTTGTATCGCTCAGTGTTGGATTTACGGCCGTCGCCACCTGGCCTTCTGTCTTCATCAATGTTTAACGAAGCCTCTGATTGTTTGCTGCGCTTTGCAAAAAAAATCCCATCGGTCACGAGGTGAAGAAAAATGTCCCACCTCGTTGTTCAGCTGAGCGCTTGATGGAAATCACCAGGATGAAGGAAACGTCGAATGCATCACAGCAACACACTGTTAAAAAAAAAAAGTTCCAGTGCGTTTTATTCCGTTTAGTCCCGGGGCACGTTAACGTCAGTGAATTCGCACATCGCAAGGTCACGAGGATTTGAAACAGTGGGGGTGATAAAACATGAGTCAGGGGTAATAGAAGGAGAGCAGAGTGAAATAGAGAACGAGGATATTGATGCTGTAGATACACAGGGAGGATTAACGCACCAATGAAACTCCAGATTCATGCACGAGGCAAAACCATAAATGAAGATGTCTCAATGCCCTCTGTCACTTTTATCTGTCGTTCTCCATCTTTCCGCCCTGGAACAATCTTCCTTGGTTTCTCGCAGCCATTTCCACGTATATCTCTTCATCTCATTTCCCTTCTCATCTGGCGCTACTGTGACACATAAACTCTTCCCATCTTTTATCTCGCCATCTCTTCATTCCGCCTCCCAACTCATATCTGCGTTACCCCTCCTCCCCCTCTTCCCTTTCGTTGCAGTGATTTCCTCGGCCCCTTCCTCCCTCATCGTCTTTTCATCTTTTCACTTCCTCCCTCTCATTAACACAGTCGCGCTCCCTCTGATGTGCGCCTCGCCCCACGTTTTGTCCTCAACCTGGGGAAATGTGGTGCATTGTCCTGTACTGCATTACTGGATGAAACCGTTGGTACACATCCCAATCGCCTCTTCTTTCTTTGTTCATCTTATTGGCGGGGGGAAACAAACGTCAAGGTGCATTACCGCCATCTACTATGTCTTCTTCTTCTCTGGTCGGCCCGATCGCCTCTTCTTCTTCTTAGTTTGGCGGGTGGCAACCAACGGCAAGGGGCTTTACTGCCGCCATGCTGTATTTCTCTTTGCCTTATCATTAGTGCATTACAGTATTTTTTGTTTTTCTCTTCACTTTCAACCCAGACAGGTCCCTGAGGCTTTTCCTTGATTTATAATAACACCCACATCACTTCAGGGGCCATGACATGTCCTGTGAATCAAAGGAATGACAAAGGAAGCAGTTTAAGTTTTGCTCCAGTTTTTTATGTCTTAAGGATGTATTGAGGAATATTTCTCTGAAGGCGTGTGTGGGAGAGGAAAGACACGGTAGATGGAGATATTTGACTTGATAAGTGAAAACGTTGGCCTGCTGCTGACGCTGGGTCAAAGGTCAGATGGTCGCAGAACTCATTTGGACTCATCAAGAGTTGTGTAGATACAGAAGGGTGAAAATTCCCACTCGCTTAACAAATAAAAATATTTATCATGTGTGGCAGATATGAGCTATTACTCAGCCTGTTCAGCAAAGTCGTATATGCTGACCACTGTTATGTTTTTCTCGTTAGATTTTTGAGCACTATAACATTTGCTGAGTGATTTATTATATGATGTCATAATGCAACCCTCAAACTAATTGAATGCATCATATACAGTCTTCCTCAGTGGTAAAGAAGCATCATGAAGACAAATATTAAGATGGAATAAATCACACTCGCACTGATTTAATGCAACACAGGTTCTTTTGGAGACGTACAGAATATTGATAATTGGCCGAGTATACCACTTTCAAAATTGCACACATTCGTTATTTAAAATATGAGCCATTAATCTGCTTTTTTTTTTTTTGAGGGATCATTTGTTGCTGCTACAGGAGCTCATTAAGCAGTGACAGGACCAGAGCTCATGCATACAAATAACTGTGGCGCTAAAGTTTTATCTCTGTGCTCTATACAAACTCAGCAAGTACCATAACAAGTGAGGCAGTTGTTCCAAAGAAAACAAAACAAGATATCCCAATGGATCTTGCAAAACACAACTCACTATCAGAGCAACAAGGATTTGAATGCATTAAGTGGATACTTTGAATCTGCCCCCCATGACGTCCTTTGGTACTGCTCCTTTTCATCGCAATGAACAAAAAGTGGGGACAGAATGCTGCATCTGTTTCTGTATCTAATGTTGAACATAAATTAGCCTTTAGAAGTAATAAAAAACCAGTGTTTATCTCCAATAGTCAGGAGCACTTTTATAATATCAAAAATTCTAACCAGAGTTCGGTGGATTTGTGACAGCATCAGCTCCTGTGGTTCAGGAAGCAGGGAATCATGGGTAATATCCACCATTCCGTTGTGTTTCAGTTCAGTGATTTGGCCTTCGCAGTCAGAGATCTGCTCAACACATTGATGTGGCTGCAGAAGACGCTGAAGCTGTTGCTTTAAATCTGAGATCTTTAATTCTCACCATGTTTAAAATAGCTTTTCCTCTTATACTGTTCACAATATATATGTAAATTTACATTTTTTCTTGGAAGGAAAACGGCTTTGGACCAACCATCAAAATTTTGACATGATCTTAATAACTTTGGCGAATTGAAGTTTTACTTCCATGATATTCTGCTTCTGTCAACTTCATAATTGCTGTTATTCTTTCCCATGGACGCTCTGGAATCGTAATTATGCTGCTCTGATCTTGGGGAACGATGGAAACATATTGATGGAAACCAGCTTTGACAACTCCAATCCAGTCAGCTATCACCACCGGGCTCCACACGGACGACAAAAAAGCTCACCAGAGATTTCACTGAATCTGCTTTTGATATGAATGACTCACTACGGGTTTAATTAAGCTTCCAATATGATTTAATCTCTCACGTTTGAATCCCTCGTATCTGCTATCAGCCAACCTATGGACATTGAGTGCGGTGTGGCCGGTGGCATTCAGGGAATGTTCATTAGTCTTTCTAATTGGCTGCTGATAGAATATCTGTGGCAGATATTAACGTTAGGAGGTCACCTGCCACCAGGAACACAAAGGCGTCGTGTCTCATATCTAATGACATTAAAATTAATGAAGGCAGTGCATTGTTTCAGATAACGCCACTGAATCCACTATGGGTGTACATTTCAGGACGTCAGGATATAAGTGCGAATGCGTCTTTATGAATGATTAACTATATAATATGTAACGATTCTTCTTTAAAATGTATAAAAACATTTGTTGACCTGTGTACTTATATTATCAAAATGTTCTTACCTGGGAAATCCCAAATTCTATTCAATTTATTTCTAACAGTATTATTTCACATGTGAATTTCAAAATGACCTCGAAAAAAAGGAAGCTGAGGCCACATACATGTTTAGTTTAGTTTAGATCCACAGTCGCTTTGTAATTAGATGCAAAATTAGTGCGGCCCTGAGCTCACGATGAGTCATTGAACAGTTGAAAGAGAAATGTAAAACTAGAATGATATTGCTTTTTTTTTTTCCCTATGTAAATGAGATAAATGAATTATGAATACAGGGACACAGGATTAAAACTCTGGAAAATCTATCTATTCTAGATTGAAATTATTTTTGACTTGCAGTCATTAGAGCGAGGCCACCGAGGATGAATATCAGGTCACTTTATGTGTCGATTTATCTTTTATTTATTCGTCAGTCTGCTCCGGGCATGGTCACATTTGTGCTCATGCATTTCCACAGTCTTGGCCAACAGTCACTGCTCGTTTCATTTTCCAAAGCTCCACGAGTTCTTTCACTGATCGGGCCCTTCTCTATTGGGAAATACCATGGCAACAGTGCTGGCAAGTGCCAACCTCAACTATCACAACAAACACACAACACGCACACGCACACACACACACACACACACACACACACATATGTATGCACACACACTGCTGCCGTCCCTGGAGTTCTCCACCAGAATTGGGCGATTGACATACTGTATCCCCCGCGGCCCCGGGGCCTCGCTGGTCAGAACTGAGCTGTAATCAAAGCAGACACACAGGTCGAACTTTATTATCAACCACTCGATACTGAGCGCAGGAACAGCCACAAGTCCTCCAAAAATACAGCGTGCGGGGAAGAGTTGCAAAATCAAAAACAGATTTTCGGGGGAGCAGGAACATTACGGCTTCCTCTGGGCCTGGAGAGTTGGCTTGTAGCATTTCACACACTATTTATTTTTCTATTCCTTTTGCTGTGTGATGTCGGTGTGGTGAAGGGAAGCTGATGACCTGACGGAGGACTTTGAAAACTATCAGGTAGGATGATCCTTTGCTTTAAACTTTAGTCAGGGACAGTAAAATATGTCCCCAGAAAAAGCCTTTTGGTTTGCAAAGTCCTGCCACAGACCATAAGAATGGTTACTTATTCATTTAAATATCATTCTAGTTTATTTATAAGGATGACACATTTTAATCAACAGTTCTGTAAATGTGCCCATGTCAGCCAGCTGGCAAATTTTCAACTGCAGTCCTTTGGTCCGATGTTTTTGAGCCATTTAGATAATAAAATAAGATTCGGGTGATTCATTACCTGCATAAGGTTTTCATTCAAAGTGAATATTTTAACTGCTTGATTGACTTGTTTTATTGTGTATTCATATCACCAGTTTGTACAACAACAGTATTTTGATCATCTTTACATTTTATAGTGACGCAAAACAGGAAGTGAAATGCTTCTATATGTCTGCTGCCTATATTCTTATCAAGTGAAGCCCCTCCCTCTTGGTGTAAATCATTCTTTTAAAAACCAAAAGCGAATTCTTTGTTTTTAAATGTATATCAATTTCACCTCAACAAGTCATGTGTCTTTTTTTGATTTGTAAAGATCATATTTGTTTTCTTGTCTAGAGAAAAATCAGGACAAAAATCGATATACTTGTATATGTTTATGAGCCGTTTTACACAGTGAGTGAGATGAATCAGATGGAAAGTGAGAGTGACAATGCTGAACATTTTCACAGCTGCTTTGAGTGAATAAAAATTCATCTGAAAAAAAGTCTGAACTCGACCTCGAGCAATGGCATGAAGCGATTCAGAAGATTACTGGGTCAGTCGATGCTGACACGAACAACTTCCTCCCGATTCTTGCACTTCCTGAACATGTGATGCCATCCAGGCGTGAGAAGATGAGATTATTTCACAGAGACTTGTGAATGAATATGTAAACATATTTAAATGTTAAATGTGTGACAGATACTGTCTCTGTCTGCGGATTTTCTGCAGAGTCAGTGTCCATCCATTGTCCCGGATCTGTCCGGCCAACATCTGAACCCAGTGAGAGAGACTCAGTTGGACTTTAACCATCTCAGGCTGTGAGGAGCGGGTGATTTTTCTTTCACAACCCCGTCGGTCTGTGGTGTTCCCACGATGGGGAAGACCGGGCAGAGCACGGTGGCCTTGAACTCCCCGACGGAGGTTAAACAAGCGGTGCCCTTTGAGGAACTGGATCCTGTGGCGCCCCCTGCTGACAAGAGAAAGAAGACAGAGGAGCCGACAGAGGAGCCGCCTGACAGGGGGAGCTGGAAGGGCAAGTTCGATTTCTTGCTATCGTGTGTGGGATACGCCATCGGATTAGGAAACGTCTGGAGGTTCCCTTATCTCTGTGGCAAGAACGGAGGAGGTGAGTGACAGAAACAAAGATAATACAGTTTAAAACTTGTTGTGATGATTACATTTGGAAATTGGAGCATTTCTACTATGATATTCTAAAATAAAATGTTAGAAAGCTTTGTTGTATTCACATTCACGGCATTTGCCTTTGTCTGTTTGTATTCATATTTATCATTGTAAAAATGTTTCCATGCTGCCGTCTTGTCCAGGTCTCTCTTGAAATAAGAGTTTATTCACCAGCTCAAAAAAAGGAAAATGAAATGTTTAGTGCTTCACTGCTCTATAACAGAAACCATATAGGGAATCCTCTTTATAGATTTCTTCTTTACTGATGACACGCTCTGTGGTAAAGCAAACATTTCTTGCAGAAAATCGCACATAAAATAAAATATTCCCCCTCTCATCCAGAGGTTCATTTCACTGAAATCAAAGATGCATTTTATAGAAGTAAAGTCTTTGACAACACATTAGCTTTTAGGAAAACTTTGCAATGCACTAAACCTAATTTAAATGTATTTCCATGTGAATGTAAAAGTGGAGTTGGAATTAGAGGTGTCTTATAACTGGCATGGCATGGTAATGTGAAATATATGTTTTTATGTTACACATCTATTCTAACATATGTTTCTGTCTGTCTCCTCGGTGGTGGTGCATCAGGAGCGTTCCTGATCCCGTACTTCTTGACGCTGGTGTTTGCTGGGATCCCGCTCTTCTTCCTGGAGACGTCTCTGGGACAGTTCACCTCAGTGGGGGGGCTGGGAGTGTGGAGACTCATGCCTATGATGAAAGGTACCACAGGGATTTAATGGAAAGATAAAGATGTGTTCGAAAAGTTGTTATATGATTTGGATTGTGTGGACGACACACAACCACTATAAGTTGACCTGTGTCTCCTCCAGGTGTCGGCCTGGCTTCAGTGGTTCTGTCCTTCTGGCTCAACATCTACTACATCATCATAATCGCCTGGGCGCTCTACTACTTATTCAACTCCTTCGGTTCGGTACGTTACTTCGTCATCAGGATTTCTTTTTTTTGTATTTAGTAGAAATAAATGAATTTACTATTTAATAAGTTTCAAACAGAATATATTTCGGGCTGCATGGAGGAAGATTTGAAACAGAATTACCTAGAAAATTCATTACAGAGGTTGCAGTAAGGCACGGTGGTCCAGTGGCACTGAAGACTCAGGTTCTGGGTTTGAACCTGATGGCCGGTCAGGGCAGTTCTGTGTAGTTTGCATGTTCGTTACGTGTCTGTGTAGTTTTTCTCAGCGTACTCCAGCTTCTTTGTTGCCCGTCCGTGTGAATGTGAGTGGTTACTAGTCTTGTCGACCCGCAGGATGAGGAATGACAGACTGATGGTTGTAATTAGGCATCAATAACCAGAAGAAAGACACCATTTAATGCTGATCCCAAAGCGCTATCCTTTTCAGCTTTTTCCCTCTCTGCTTTTCTTTCACTCTGTGTGACTGGCCTGCTCAAAGAGGCGACAGAAATGTGAAGACTGTTCAGACATTGTGCTCGAGGCTATTGTGGCGGGGAAATGGAGGATTGAGAAGCAGCCATCAAAAGACCTTGAAAAGAAAATCTAGTGTTCATTGTTGTTCAGTGTTTTTATCTGAGAGCAAAAAAAAAAAAACCCAAAAACCCAAAACATCACGGGTCCATGAGAAGTAATTTTCACTGTTGAATGGGTTTTGTGTCCTTGTCTTTTATTCTGAGGAGTCTCTGTAATGTTTGAAGCAGTTAGAAGTCAGACAGACACAGTCGACTGCAGAGTCAAGAGGACGATGATAGATAGATTTTTGTGAAGAAACACACACTCACACACATCATTTATTTCTAGTGTTACTGTTGTTGGTTTGTCTTTTTAGAAAAATTAAAGGTCTCATGAATGTCAGAACTTGGTTTAGCCTGAAATAGACAAAACAAAACTGTGTGTGTGTGTGTGTGTGTGTGCAGGAGCTGCCGTGGCAAAGCTGTGATAACCCCTGGAACACAGAGAAATGTTTTTCCAACTACAGTCTGACGGACACCACCAACCTGACCAGTGCCGTCACTGAGTTCTGGGAGTAAGTCCACGAGACATGTTCAGTATATCAATGTGTATGTAAGTGTTGGAGCTATGTGTTTCTGATTGTGTGTGTGTGTGTGTGTGTAGGCGTAACATGCACCAGATATCCAGTGGTCTGGATGAGCCAGGACAGCTGCGCTGGCCCCTGGTGGGCACTCTGGCTCTGGCCTGGGTCCTCGTCTACTTCTCAATCTGGAAAGGAGTGGAGTGGACGGGGAAGGTCAGACTCAAGTTTTCATCCATTCTTTTTTCTTTTAGAGAATTCTAACGCCATAAACCAGGATGGTGGACATATGAGTCATTACACCTGCTACACATGAGCATTGACGCATTGTCCCTGTGCACTTGTTGCTATGGCAACACTGTGATTGATGCGTCGTTAGCACAGCTTTAACCCGTGAAGCCATTAGTCCATCCCAAACAGCTCCTATTGGCTCCGTGTTGTCACTCAAGTTTCTCCTCAGGCCAGAAAATGCAATCTCAGGCTTGATGAGTGAACGTTCTCCTGCTCATTTCCAGCCTCCTTCTCCCCCTCAGTTTCTGCTGGGCTTTATATTTATCGATCCAGAGCGGCTCCTTAATTATACCTCAGCTGGACGTGTTTGTGATATTACTTCATCAGTCCTGAATTTAAAAAATATGGCGAGGGCATCATTGATTGATTTCGAAATCTAACTGACCAGAAAGCTCAGTGGAGTTTTTCCAATCAAGTGATGATGATGATGATGATGCCCTTCACCCACATCACACACATTTATAATATATTGAGATATGAGATTTAATTGGATTTATGAACGAAACATTTTAGCTGTGAATTGATGACTTTGCCTGTTCTAATCTTTTCTTTGTCAACTTATTATTTCAGTTCTTATTCTTTCCTGATTGTTTTTGTTATTGCTGTATTGATTTTAATTCACACTGATTTCAAAATAAATTAAAAAAACTATATAATATTATGATTTTTTTATCAGTAACTTACATTTTTATTCTTGTAATATTATAACAGCATTCTCATAATAGTCCATATTTTCTCAAAATTAAATTATTCTTTTTATTATTATTATTGAAATCTGTAAATAACATTAAAATTGAGTAGTGGTTTTTCATTGTTTAATTCAGAAGATATATATTTTAGTATTTATTTTAATATAGACTTTGTTTGTATCTGCTGCTTGCACCCAACATTTCACTGAAGTAGAAAAATGAAAAAAGTTTCAAAGGTGTTATTTTAATCCCAAAGTGCAAAAACAATTCAGAGGTGATAGAAATAAATAAAAAAAGAAAAATATCACAGTCTGTTGCCGGGGATTTCTAAATTACAGCCAAGTCCAAGCGACGTATGCGAGCAGAAACACATTCACACATTCCCTGCCAGGGATAATTGGATTTTAATGTGTAGCATTTGAGAGCAGTGAGAAAAATGAATTCCCTTGAGGCCCCGGCCGTGATGGACGTTACCAATTAAGCATAAAAAGCATGCAACCGAAACTCAAGCCACTTCTAAAAGGTCTGGGAAAAAAACCTGTGGCAAAGAGAAGCCATGGAAATACAGACAGAGCAGAGGAATATTTCACTCTCTATTAATGAGAAACAACAGGTTCTGCGTCTCTGTTTTGCTCTGACAAGGAGAACAACACACAGAACATGCGCTTTGAAATAAAACCTAATCTGGATTGTTCTTCTCTGTCTCTCAGGTGGTGTATTTCTCCGCCACTTATCCCTACTTCATGCTGTTCATCCTGTTCTTCCGAGGGGTCACTCTGCCCGGAGCCATAGACGGCATCCTCTTCTACATTACCCCAGACTTCAATAAACTCATCAGCTCGGAGGTAGAGGAAAACCATGAGGCCAATGTTATTTGTCCGTGTGCTGAAAGTTGTATAACTGCTTCTCCATAAGTAAATTGATTTTTAAATAGAAATGTGTCCAAGAATCTGCAGTTGTGTATTTTCAGAGTCTGTTCGTATGTAATAACATTTGCAAATGTGCAAGAGAATATTTAAAGGTGATTTCATTCGTGCATGTATCTGCAAATGCATAAATCTAGACAAACCTATTTGGACATGATGACAAACATGTGCACACGTGGCGTCTCTCAGGTGTGGCTGGATGCTGCGACTCAGATCTTCTTTTCCTATGGCCTGGGCCTGGGCTCACTCATCGCACTGGGGAGCTACAACTCTTACAACAATGACGTCTACAAGTAGGGACATGAAATCACGAAGCTTTATGATTCACAAGCTTCTCCTTCCACTCAGAACTGTTCACGTTGCTCCTCTCGCTTCAGGGACTCCATTATAGTCTGCTGCATCAACTCCTGTACAAGCATGTTCGCTGGATTTGTCATCTTTTCCATCGTAGGCTTCATGTCCTACATCACCAAGAAACCTGTGCAGGAATTAGCAGCGTCAGGTATGGGGTGATTGTCTATTAATAAAGTATTGACATAATTTAGAGTTTAATTATTGATTCCTCTGTTATAAAACGTCAACTCGGACCTGTTGTATTATCCTTCCTGTGAAATTGCACTTGCTTCCCACCAATGAAACATGTCCAATATCCTCTCGTAAACAAGGGAGAAAAGGTTTTCGACAGGCCGCCTGTTTGACCTTTACATGGAGCCAGTCACTTGAGACAAATTGACCTGCTTTCAGTCCTTCACTGCACATTTAAGTGAACTTATCTGGCAGCCATGGAGGTGTTGGAGGCTTAAAAACTCAATCTAACCCAAAACCAAAAAGGAAAAAAGCAAAGTGAGATAAAAATGCTGTTTGTATGTTTTCTACAGATATAAATGTGCAAATGCTGGTATATATTTACAACAGGGTCAAATATAAAGTCATTGAATTCTGTATATATGAGTCTCGGTTGTGGTTTTTAGGTCCAGGTCTGGCGTTCTTGGCGTATCCTCAGGCCGTCACCCAGCTGCCCATGTCCTCGCTATGGGCCATCCTCTTCTTCTCCATGCTCATGATGCTGGGCCTGGACAGTCAGGTATAAACACACAATAACTGTTGCTTTATTCATCTATTATATTTCTTTTCCTCACCCTTGGTTCTTCGATATAAGTATTATTTACTGTGAAAAAACAAACAGATACTCTATGTGGCTGAATGACAAATTTAGGCTTGTGTTTGTGAATAGAACGTTGGTGTGAGTCCTCTTTTAATAACTCACAGCACATTCTGACGCACATCAATAATGTCATGTGCTAGTTCTGCACAGTGGAAGGCTTCATCACCGCTCTGATGGATGAATACCCCATGGTGCTGAGGAAGAGGAAGAAGGTCTTCATTCTCATTGTCTGCTTCATCTCCTTCATCATCGGCTTCTCCAACATCACACAGGTGTTGCATGCACTTTTATTACGTAGATTATACTATTTTATACCCTGTTGATGGTTTGTAATACATAAAAAACAGTTTGACAGTGTGAGGTGTGCTGTTTAAATTGCTGTGGTTAATTCAAGCTGCAGGATGAGTCTGTTTGTAACTGGTGTTATAAGAAGGTTCTGACACTGGGGAAAAGAATAAAGCCCCTCCTGCATTAAACATAATGACAAAATGGTCGCACAACAACCTGCGGTGTACATTCATCATGCATATTTTATTAAATAAAAGGGGGGATATTAATATTCAACCTCTAAAGCAAATCTGTGTGTGTGTGTGTGTGTGTGTTGGAATTTCCCAGGGTGGTCTCTACGTGTTCAAGCTGTTTGATTACTACTCCGCCAGTGGGATGTGTCTTCTCTTTCTGGTCTTCTTCGAAACCATCTCCATATCTTGGTTTTATGGTAGGACCAATCAATCAATCAATCAATCAATCAATCACGTACACATGGATCTGTGCGGTTTATTATTTATTTCAGGAGCCTCATTGTACAGAAAGTGCACGATGTTTCAGAGCTCCTGATAATTAAATTCAACACACAGCTCCCCTGTTATTCAAATCATGGTCTGTGCTGTTGAATCAGGCCAAACAGTTTAGAAAGAAATGAAGTGAAAGACAAGAAACCTGAATAAAAGAGGGACAACGGTATATCGAGCCAAGTCACTGAATGAATCATGCATGTAGATTTCCTACACAGCTGTGCAACAGGAAATTACTTCTACCTGCTCCACTCTCGCCTTCCCCGCTCTTTCACCTCTTACGGCTTTTGTTGTTGCAGTTATTACTTCTCCTTCTTTGTCCTCCTCTCTTTATGCCACAGGAGCTGAAAGGTTTTACCAGAACATCGAAGACATGATCGGCTATCGGCCGTGCGCCTGGTGGAAGCTCTGCTGGATGTTCTTCACGCCAATGATCTGCCTGGTAGGCACCGGAGAATGATTATCGATTTGACCTCCCTGGTACTGTTTTTTCTGACATGTGTTTCCTCCTCCCTCATGGAGAGTTGGTTTCCTCTGCCGTGTGGTGATTTGTACTCATCTCGTGGACTGTGAGGCCCCCTGGGAAATCATGGCAAGGACTATGTCTCCTGTAACGTAGTGATGGAGGAAGTGTGATGTTGAAGGAAGCTATTTAAATGGAGAGTTAAGGGCGATCTGCCAAAATGACTGAGGACACTTCACTCCCAGTAAATAGGATTTAAAGTAACTAGATGATTTGTAGGTCAAAATTATAGACTGTATATTAAGATGCACGACATGACTGCTCCCGAAAGTGAAGCCAAAGCATCTCGATCGGCCCCTGGTGGCTGGCTGCAGCATAAACCCCACCTCCAAATGTGGATTTGAAGCTCACACCAAAATTTTCTTTCTCAAAGATAATTTCTGTAATTTTAGGTTTTTCTTTTAACACTGATGCTTGTAGCCTTCATGTCGTCCATCTTTATTTAGCCTGTGATATAAACCGCCACATCCCTGCGCACTGGCCTCATTCTGTAACCGACAAGACTCCTATTAACTTATTTTTATATCGTAGGGGGTGTTTACCTTCAGTGCCATCGAGATGACCCCTCTGACCTTGGGGAAGTATGTGTACCCGATGTGGGGCCAAGTGACTGGCTGGTTCATGGCTTTGTCTTCCATGATCCTGATCCCAGGCTACGTCATCTACATGTTCTGCACCAGCAAGGGCAGCATCAAGCAGGTACTAACATCGCTGATTCTAATGTGACAAAAACATGTCTTCCAACAGGGAATTTCCCCGATGTGTGGATCAATGTTCTATCTAATCTAATATAATAACGGCGAGAAGCACATGAAATGAATCTGACCGTGATGTAACTCTCTTTACTTGACCAGCGTTGGCGGAAGATGACAACTGCCCGGGAGGATAAAAAGTCATCGGGGCATGAAGAATTTACACACACAGGGAGCGTGGGCGAAGCTCCGGTCTAGCCAGGATTGTTCAACTCAAAAAAAACCCCCCCCCCCCCCTCGTCTGCCAGGGACTGAATGTGGTCGACGCTGAAATGTGACAATCGAGGGAGTCGTGCATGGTGTTTTAGTGGGATGTTTTCCTTCATCTGAAATTGTGCCAAAAAATCAGGCAAATAAAAAATGAAGATGAGGAATTTAGAGGATAGAATTATTATTTTTCTGCAGTAAAATCTAGATAGATTCACCATGGACCCTTGTACATAAACACGACCGTGAACCTTCACACTATTCTTGTACATTTTCTCTACCACAACAAAATCAGTGTCTTTGTTTATAGGTTTACCACAAATGAATGAACAGATGAATGTGGTTGTACAGAGAAATGAGGCAATAAGTTAAAACTTGATTTAAAGCATGAAATCTGTGCATTAGTAATAAATCCAGTCACTGTAATAAAGTAAATATCACATTTTACCATTAAATATTTTTGAACCGTATTGTTATATTTGTAGTTTTTGGTGATCCATAAATACAGAAATGAAAACAAAACTATACAATGAATGTGATTTAATGTCCTATAATCTCAAGTATTAGCATTTATGGAAAATCCAAATATTAGAAAGCTGTAAATATAATGGTGTCTCTATAGCTAATGTTTTTTATTAAATTGAACATAAGTATTTTAAAAATCTGTTTATTATTTTTATGTCTTCTGCTCTCCATACACCATAGAGTACGTGAAGCTCCACAACATGACGCCTCCTTAATGCAAAGCCAAAGCGTCTTGTTCGCCACCTGGTGGCTCGTGGCTGTGTAAATCATAAACCCCGGCTCCTGCATGTATTGCCAAAAAAATACTAATAAAAAAAAAAGAAATATTTACATGTTTAATTCAATGTGTTGTAGCTACTGCAGCTACAAGTTTGAGATGACTAACTGTAGAGTAGTGACTGGATAGTTGTGCTTTACGCTTCTGGAACTCTCATAATAAAATGTATATTTGTGTCATTTAAGAAAACAACTTTTCACAATATTGACATAAGGCGTGTTTATGGTTCATGTGAGATATGTGAGAAACTGAGTCTTCTGTCCGTACTCCAACCTCCAACCTTCTCCGCCATCGCCATGTTAGCTGTTTTCAGATACTCTTGACTCTGCACTGCCCTCCAGTGGATGTATTGCAATGCAAAGGACTTATGGAAGTATGTGTGCATGACAGTTAGATTATTTTAACGGGACGTATTTCCTTTTGTACGTAAAATCGGCATAAATGAGCACATAGCAGATTAAATCCAAGACCCAGAGCACATCATCGAGGTGAGTAGACTTAAATCATCTTTAATAGCATGTTGATATACAGGTAGAGAGGGACTGAACTGAGGGAAGTGACTGATCATATCTGTAACACTCAGTTTCCACCTGTCCGTCCCTTCAAATGTCCACTTGTCTGTAATTGTTCTAACTAGTATGAGCAAAACACAGTGTTGCAGAGCAGGACTGTAAGATCCACATGTCACTCATGAAGCAGTGCACTGGTATGGCAGAGCCCTTTAGTCAGTTTCGTTATGAAAGTCCGTCACTACTTCACTTTGGGAGTCACATCACTCTGCGCTCCAGAAATGCTACATTTGTTTCCTCTCAAAACACAAACCTGTGGTTTTAGATGTGTCCCGTTCCCGTATGTATGTTTATTGCACACGCAGCACGTCTTGTCTCCCAAAATGCTTCAACAGGAAAAACTGTGCAATCATACAAAGGGTAGTGAAGAACAGGGCAACAGAAAAGGCCATGTTTTGACAAAAGAGGAATAATTTAAAGGCACAGAAAAAATGATTTTCTGCCTTAAGTCGTGTTTTTTTTTTTTTAAATCATAAAATTTCATTTTTTTTTTTTTAAGATTTCATTATTTCGGCATCTTCATCTCTGCCTAGTGTGCTCACAGCGAATCCATGCACCAGAAAACAAGACTTTTCGGACTTAAAAGATCAATAGGCCTCCAAACAGATGTCATGCAAGAAAAAAAGAAGAATTTTATATCTTAAAGTTGATTAAAACAAATAAATGAGCAATCATCATCAATGTGCTGAACTGTTATCATGATTTTATGTAACCTTCGAGTTTGTTTATAGCCGGTAAAAATATGGTAATTATCATAAAAGCTCTTCACTCATTTTTGAAAGCACTAATTTGTCTTATTGTGTTACATAAAAAGAAGAAAAACAATTACTGAAATGAACAGAGGAGGGGTCGGATTTGTTTGTGGGGGAATTAGGATGCTGTTGACACACACACACACACACACACACACACACACACAAAGCTCTACCCCTTGAAACAACAGTCTTTTCACCGGTGGAATCGTAAGTTGGAGAGGACAGAACGAGGAGATAGAGACGTCCCTGCAGTGGCTCCGCGATTATAAATCAACAAGTCAGACAGATGAGGGTCAGATGGGAGCAGAGTTAACCGCACATCCATTCCGCAGCACCTGGTGCGGCTTAATGTTTAAAAGATGGCGCCGTCGCTGACCTATTTCAGAATGAGGGACCACGAAGGGGGGGCAGTAGCATTTCGAATGGGCTAAAGGTATAACTCGCTTGTCCTTTCCTAAAGCTGCTCGCATGTGGTATTTACAATCTAAGCTTGGGTGGAAAGAGAACAGATCAGATAATGCATTCTTCTTTTTTGTCTCATTCTTATTTAAAGCAGCAGCAATACCATTAATGCCAGCGTTTTGCAAAAGAAGCTGTGTGTGTGTGTGTGTGTGTGTGTGTGTGTGTGTGTGTG